ACTTCGACGACTAATTGTTTCTGTACCAATTGAGCCCAGCCTTTCTTTGTGTTAATAGCAATTGTAGCATAGCACTCACATAGCCACCATCCTTTATGTTTTATGCAGCAAGCTTGATTAATTTCCAAGCCAGTTTAAGTTACCAAACGCACTGTGGAGTAATGCTGTAGGAATGTATCATTTACCAAAGTGCCCACACTGTTTGCATGGTATATTTTGACTGGCTTTTGTGTCCATCTTAGAACGGTCATCATGAGGTACATAGTTTTACTGACCTTGTAGTCCAGTTTTGGAACTTTGTCAAATTTGGCAGAGTGCAGAAGCTTTGGAGCAATATGATGTACTCCTTGCCTCCGTATCTGTTTTAGGATAGCTGTGCAGTCTAGTATACTCATGGCCAATTTTGTAACTGCACTTGCAGTAGCCTGTCCTTAATTATTTCAATTACTCAGTCCCCATAGGCCACACAAGCAATTGCTAATGAAATATTATTCTGGAGGCTGTTGATAATTGACAAAATGGTAGCATTTAGGTGGGTGAATCCTTGAGCAATGAGGTGCATGTTATCAATTGTGACTGCATGTGGGCTTATGTTTTAGGCCTTCATCTTACAACATAGACTAGCAACGCTGACAATACCACTTAACTTACTAGAAGAAAAATGTTTGCCCCCAAAAGCATCTGGATACTAGGATCAGATACACTCAATAAACTATTTTCATTTCAATTGGGTTAGGGATGTTAAAAATTATTAATAGGATAATCATGTAACCATTAAAAACCATAGCAATTATACACACTGCAGGCTCTGCTTAGCTGGGAGCTGGCTAAGTGTAACTGATACCATTAGCCAACAAGTATCAGCTTATTGATTAACTGGTTAATCGGTTATACTCTAACATCCCTAGTTAGGATCCTATTTACTTAGTGTAGGGGACAATAAAAGGTTCCAAAAAGTTTCTAGTATAAAACAGCTGTTAACTACAAGCAAGTGAATAGCCTGATCCCATTAACGAGAAGTCCTGTGGCTCCTTAAAGACTAACTGGTTTATTTGTGTATAAGCTTTTGTGAGAAAAAACACTTCATCAGACATGTGTAAATAATTATGTTAATCTTTAAGGTGTCACAGGACTCCCCATTTTTGGAGATACAGACTAACAACACAGCTCTGAGACTGATCACATTAGTCAGCCTATGAAAATCAGGTGGAGATTGAGTGTTCTGAGTACCAGTTCTGGTGCCAGAGAAGAGGAACATGAATAATAGTCTTTTAGCTGCAAGTTACAGGCATGGGTAGTTTTCTAGACTATTTGGGACTTTAAAAGCAGAAGCTGTGGATTTCTCAAGGAAGGCATCCGCAGTCCCTTTACTATCTGTAGAGCACATTAAATACTCTGTAAAAAAAAACAAAGCCTCAAATCCATCTGCATTTTATTTTTGTTTTTGTTGTGTTTACTTAAAAATACCCAAACCGACTACACTCTCATTCAATATCAGATATTAGGGGCTCATCTACACTGGGGAGTTATTTCAAAACAACTCTTATTTCAAAATAACAAAATGAGCATTCACACTACCAAGCCTGTTGTTTTGAAATAATGGGTCTTATTATTTCAAAATAATAATTCCTACTTTTGAAGAAGAATTAACTTATTTCAAAATACAGGACTGTGTAGCACTTTAAAGACTAACAAGATGGTTTTTTGTTTCAGCTACACCAGACTAACACGGCTACATTTCTATCATTATTTCAAAATAGTTATTTGGGGAGTTAGTCTAGGAGACTCCATCAAAGGCAACAATTCACTCTGTTGGAAGTGGAGAGCTGGGTTCATTTGCAGCTTTGATAGCTTCCTGTAACTGCTCTGTGCACTGCAGTTCTCTCACCTGGGAAACAGGTGCTGTAATAGCCCCATTCCATGTCTCTTTGCCCGGCTCTTAACCTTTGTAGAGTGCTCAGAGATGCTTGGATGGAAAATTTTACTGCCACTGCTGTATAACAAGAACAGGTCTTTGGAGCAGATAAACGAACACGAGGATGCCCCCGTGTTTCAGAGTTTCAGCTGGACTATGTTTACTGCCTGTGTTTGTTTAAATAAGGAGCCTCCCTTTCTCTGAAAGGAGTTGGGGACAGAGTGTTCACTGTGAGCCGATCAGGATACAGCTGAAAGTTAACAATGGTGGCATTCAACAACCTTCTGTACTATCCCGAAGAAAAGTGGTGGCTCCCATTTTGCCCTACCAGTATTCCAGGGACAGTACATTTCTCTCCACTGAAGAAGACGAGAGAGTGAGCATTTTCAGCAAGGAGCAGCTGCTCCATTCTGAATGACATTTCATTCCTTGGTTTGCTCTCAAGCCGATCCGGTGAGAACAGACCGCCCCCTCGCTGTGCGACACACCTGCCTGCTCAGCACGTGAGCCCAACCAGGGCACGCTGCCCCCAGCCCACCATGCAATGCTGGACAGGCTAACTGGGGCATCGCCTTTGCCCACGTGCTATGTCAGGGGGCGCTTCTACCCTGTTCCGCCAGCCCCTCACCTCCAGGTCCTCCCGCAGGCAGCGATATTGCTCCAGGACGGAGAAGCCCCGCCGATCCGCCAGCTCCACGTGCGCTTCCCCGGGGTAGCGGGCGAGGAAGGCCCGCAGCACTGCGCCCTCGAAGTCAGCCAGCACCCCGTCCATGTCCACCAGCACTCGGAGCCGGGGCGCGGTGGCTGCAGCCATGTCACCCAGCGCCGGTGATGCGGCAGCAGCCTCCTTAGAGAGCCCCCAACGGCTTAGTCAATAAGACCGGGCGGACTTGGCGCCTGGCAAGCCCCGCAGGGGTCTCAGCGCTCGTGGGGCGCGGGAAAGCCCGGGGGCGGGGCGCGCAGCGGAGGGCCGGCCAGGCGGGGGAGCCAGCATGGAGGCTGA